TATATAAAATTATATATTATTAATGGTCTTTAACTGAACGAGACATGGAAATTGTATTAGCACCAGATCACAAATTCAAATCTTGTCTAAAATGTAAATTACAAAACATGCTACCGGTCAGCTACCAGATGTATTTTCTTTCCCTTTTCACAGCTGCTTTAAGAACTGACAGAGCATTTAATTGGGTGCATCTATTATTTACCTTTTGAAATTCATTTCAGTAACCCACAAAGCTATTTTATTACAAGACAAAGCCACCGCAAACCTAACTCTTTGTTTATAATTACACACCCATGCAAGATATTTCCTAGCTTATGTAAAAAATGTTCCTATTACATTGAGCACAAAAAAGAACGGACACAGAACGAAAGAGGAGGTGAGTACTGCTTAGTCAAGCACAGAGGAAGTATGGATCATAAAGGAACTCATTAAATGGCTTCCAGCTCAATTTTTCAGACTCTTTATCCTATATCTTTCCTGCTCTTGCTGTCCTAAAGAATTCATATTACATTGTTTCTTCTTACTACAATGTACCCTGTCAATCGATTTAATACTTAAATTTGTAGTATAAAAAAGTACTTAATCTCACATATGCATTTGCTGTTATAAAACTTACGGTAACTATTTATATATGCTGATATACACATAAATACAGGAATATACTTAGTACTTCAACTTACAAGAACATTAATGAGACCTTTTCAGAGGAAAGTAAGGTGATAGTAAATATCTGTTCATAGCTTTGCATAACAGGCAACACATGTAACAATCCTTCCTACTTTCCCTTGTCTCCAGGTAACATAAGGCAGAAAGAAATTCTAGAAGTGTCCCCCAACAGTAGTGGCTTATTTTCCTTCCTGCACTGACACCAGTTGTAATTTCTATGACTCCCAAGTGGTAAAATAAAAGCTCTGCTCATTGTGCTGGCAGAGCAAAAATATCCTCCAGGCTTCTGCTCTCAGTCATGTCTGGAATGGTCATTCAAGAGAACTGTGGAATACACATTCCACTACATAACTGACCAAAAGCTAAGCCTAAACATAACAACGGTCATGGATGAAAAGAATTCTTACTGATACTGAAAAAAGGAGATAAACTTTTATAAGAATGGTTATGGAAGGGTTTCTGTATGCTGTAAGGGCTTAGCAGAAGAAAGAGATTTCATGTAATGAAAATCTTACAAAGCATCTCAGTGCTGTCATCATCAACTAAAGACTGTTTTCTTTGCACTCTGGTATTCTGCTGTCCCCACACATACCAATCTTCCATTGACTTTGAGAGGGGGCATGCAGAGAGAGCAGAATGCCAGAACTGAGATCTGCATTGTGGACCTCAGAGCAGTATTTTGCCCTTTCATGAAAACAGAGTAAAGTTTGATTGAAAACTATTGATTCACAGTGCAGAGATATAAAAACAGTAGAGCCTAACGGGACTAGCGGATTGTCTGGTCTGGCTTCCTGCACAACAAGGCTATAGAATTTTATGCAATACTCTCATCAAGCCTAATTGTTTGTGAAGCATGTCTTCCAGAAAGACATCCCATTGTGTCCTGAAAATACCAAAAGATCAAGAACTCACCACTTCCTGTAGCAGTTTGTGACAGTGGTTGATTTTCCTCACTACTGAAATGCTTTGCTTTATCTATTTGCCTGGTTTAAACTTCCCCAGATTCCTATCACATTTTCTGCAGTAGACTAATGATTCATCTGGTACACAGTAATTTCTCCCTGGGGCAGGAGGAATAGTTACTCTTGCAATTAGTTACTTCTTAATTTTCTTTGTGATACAAATGAATCCATTAAAAAAGAAATCAAAAGACAATGCTTACTCTGATTTGCAAATTTAAGGCTAGGAACATGTTAGAGGGTTTTTTTTCCAAAGAAACATTAAGCTCTTTCTTACCACTGTGAACGTTTTCCTTATGTTTTTTCAGGGCATCCTTACTCTTGAACCTCTTGCCGCAGCTATCTGCCTTGCATATGAATCTGGCATCCCCTCTGCATGCCTCCTTGTGCTGTTCATAACTATATGGAACAACCAGTAAAAAAAAAAAAAACAACCCCAAAACAAAACACAAAAATCAACACATAAAGCAGTATCTACAGAAAACAGACACATAGCAAGTACTCTGAGCTTAATGCATGCTGCATTGCAGAGTTCCAAGGCCACCTCATGCATTACTTACAGGAAATAGAAATGAAAGCATTTGACTTCTTTCACCGTTAGGATTCACATAAACTAGCAAGCCTGAAAGTTAACATGCAAAGGAAGGCCAGCAATTGTATGACAGCAGTCCAGTAACTCAGACACAAAACCTCGATTCTGAGCTGAAGGAAGTATTGCAAACAGAGCACTGAAAACTTCTTGAAGAGTCTCCTGGGCTGATATTCTTCTCTGCGCACTGAAGTACACTAAAGAAAAAAAAAAAAAAGGGGGGGGGAGCATTCTACAAGTTACACAGGCTTGCAGTAGCTAAAAACATATATTCAGCTCTACAAATCTAAGTAGGTGAGTAATCTATTTCATATGTGAAGTATCCTGGAATTTAGTGGGACTAATCAAATGCATAGACAGGAAGAGTCAGGATCATACTGCTGTATCCTCATACAGATTAATCTTACTTTGCATGATGTAAAAATTTAATTAACTAGCTATACAGCACAAATCCAACTTCTACTATAGACTAGAAGGAACAAGTCTAAGTTCAAGAGAAAATATTTAATTGCCTCCACCAAATATCTCTTTGCTATATAATTTTATTTATTTCCAGGAAAGAACACAGAGCTCACATAGAGCTGCCAGTTCTAGGAATGTTCACATTATTCAGATGTAAGACAGACCAATTTATTACAAGAGCAGCCTTAAATGCGTTCTATGCAATATGAGTCTGTTTCTTTCCAATACAAGAGAGTTAGATTAAATGTACTATCTATAATCACTTAAGCATCTAATGTACTATCTGTAATTACATGGATAATAAAAAAATATATCTAATTGCAAACAAAAAATATATAAACAAAAGACAAAACCAGTTATGTTTTTGTACAAAAGTATAATTGTAAACTTTAGTGACAAAACTGCATGTTTACATTATCAAGGACAGTAAAAATGTGCTCTTAAGTCTCACATCTTTCATGTTTCTATTTGTTTTTTTTCCATCACCCAAATATTTAATTAAGCAAATGTGAAGCTTTCCTTTTTTTTTGTCCTTCTAGATCACCATTTACTTTCTTCTAAATCTTACTTTAATTCTGTAACGACATCCACAGCTTAAAAATTCCATCTCCTAACCAACTAAATAGTCCACTGATGGAGACCAAGGGTCTTGCACCAAACAGCAGCTCTGATCTGGTCTAGAGTGTATGATTTTAAAACATAAAAAATTAGCGACGTTTTTGTGATTCAAACTGAAGTCTCCAACAAATACAAGAAACTAACATATTAAAAGACTAATGTAAAAGGTAAGGGTACAAATACATAAACATAAAAGCTTAAATTGTGATTAAGCCAAGAGAAATAAATGATTGAATGAAATTCATTTAAATGATCCCTGAAAAAAGACTCCTGTTTCTACTCACTGTCTTTGTAGAGCTTGTTTAACAGGGAATTTCTTTCCACAGTTTCGGCACTTAAATTCCTTTTCCTCACTGGGTTTTTGGTGCAAAGTCTGAAGATGTTCAGCTAGAATCTCCTGGCTGGCAAAACTGGATTCACAGTTTGGGCATGCATGGTCCTCTTTACAGGTGAGGGGATCTGCATGATTGGAGGCAAAAGCAGTAAAGGAATAGTTTTCAGGGATTGTTTTGGTTACATTAAGAGAGACTCTCTGCCAGAAACAGATTATGCAAAATGGCATCACAAAATTCACAAAAGACATTGTCTCTCAATGGATTATAGACAGCCTATCTTGAGTGGATTACCATCAGCATTATTGAAAATGGATACAAAGTATTAAGTTGGGTGTGACTTAGGCTGTTAGCCTAAATTAGTCATCCAGGTTGTCTCTACTTTGATAAAGATGCTGAGAATTCACCAGACAGCTCAGGTCACCTACCTTTTCTTAGACATCTTACCTTAGGATTGGCTGAACAGCTTTATGAAATGGTTTATTTGTCTCCAATCTAAGTAAGAGGGAAACTAACCCTCTTAGAGGAAAAGCTTAGCTTTCATAAGACTTCATGTCAGGTGAAATGAACTCCATCTTTAGTTCAAAAAATCATGGTAACTTCTCATGAAATCTAGGCTCACTCTTCACTCAGTAATGCCAGGACTGGCTGCTTCTTATTAGGTAAAGAAAAGAACCTCAACTCTTTTCTCTTTTTTCTTTGTTATTACTTCTAAGCTCTCAAGTTATCCTAATTTTTACATATTGCTCACCTGCAATTTTTTCACTGGCTGGTTGCACTTCTTTATTGTTGCCACTGTCTTCATCTTCCTGGATAACAGGTACTTCTTCTTCCTCCTCCTCCTCTTCTTCCATGTCACTGTCCAAGTACCCAATCAGAAGTTCTGTGTCTGTTTCAATATCTTCCACAGCCAGATAGAAAATATTTTCCCCTTCCTGTTGCAAACAGTAAGTAGAAGCAATGCATAATTATGTCAGAAAAAGTAAAATCTACAGACAAGTATGGGACCCTGAACTAATATTAGTCCTCAACTGTGGAAGGGCTGGCTCAATTCCTCAGGGAGCACAATGCTAGAACAGCCTTTCTGAGACTTCTTTCCTAGTGAGGCTGCATGGATAAAGTGCCCTTGTATCCTGATATTCTGGAAATATGCCCCTGCCTCACCTGTGAGGCTTTTCCAATTTCACTGCAGCCCAGATTCTACGTGAGAGTACAAAGTACATGCTAATAAGGCCTAAAACCTTGTCCACAATGAATAAACAAGCTTCCAAATAGATACATAAGGTAACAACTTCAGTCTTTGACAATGTTTATCTAAAGTTACCAAGGTTGGTGGCGGGGGGGTGG